CGAGGCACCACTGTATTGAATTGGGACTTGGGAGATCCAGGATCTAGTACCCAATGAACTATGAAACTCACTGGGTGATCTTGAGCCAGTAACTCTCTCAGCCTGATCTACATCAAAGGGTTGTTCTGGGAAAACAGCAGGGTCAAAGAATACCATGTACTTGATCTCACTGAAGGACAAGTCAAATATTTATCATTATTAGTTATTTAAAATATTTGTATGGTGCCTTTCTACTGAAGAGGGCCCAAGGCATACAGGAGAAATATACATCAAGAAAGTGCATCTTGGCCACTCAAAGTATTTTCACAGCTACACAGCCAATTATAAAGAAATAACTGTCTATAATCCAACATAAATGTGGCTGGGTTCCTTATAAACACTGAGGACCTCACTTATTACCTAAACATACGGTTGAAACGACACAGCCTGATGCTTATTATCCTGTCAATTATGTTATATAAACTCATTTAGAAATAAAAATCCCACTATGACAAAATGGTCTGTAGGTCGCTAACACTTGTATCTATGTTGTGGATATAATTCTAAATATGCTGTTTTTCACTATAGATGCAATAATAATCCATCCTAAATGGAAGTTTCACTGACCTTATAGAAACAAAAGGAAGTAATGATATTGTCAAGATAAGCATTAAATTGCTTTCTTAAGAATTGTGTAAATTGCTTCTTCAAAAACATAGCTGATTGTTGTGAACAAGTGGCATATAAAATATAAATATTTATTCAAAGAAAGGAAGGGTTAGGTGAAAGATCAGAGGGTGGGAAGTAGCAGCTTGCCACTAACATCTAATGAATTCATTGGCAATATCACATTGGAACGTGGTGCTATGCTCACCCTTTTAGCCATCACACTGCACAAATCCAGTTATCTTTTAAACTATTAAAGAGGCAACATATTCTTGGTTTGTCGTTTTACTATTTTTACTACTTTGTTTATACGTGCTAGGGTTTTATTTTGAAAACTGGAAGCATATAAACATTAGGTTATACCAAAAACAATTACCACAGAGTTCATTTATGTTCAGAGATGCTTGTTGGTACAGCACACCGGATAATGTCTGACACAGGACTTCCACTGGCAAAATCCAGCAAAAGTAGTTGGGAATGCCTCCCCCTCCCCAATATTTACTATTCCTGCATTCTCCAAACCAGCTGCATTATAAATCCTTTCGAAAGCAATTTTAGGTGGTACAGACAGTTGCACAGCATGGAAAGCAAAAAAAGTGCTGCAATGCCAGCATGAAGTTAGATTTCAGCTATTGACAAGACACACTAAGCAATATAATTTACAATACACAAGCTTGCCAGGAAAGTCCATAGTTTAATGCACCTTACTCCTAGGTAAGTGGGTTCAGGATCACAGCTTCAATTTCTAAGAAGGTGGAAGTTCTCTGGAGACTTGGAGGATGTATCCCTGATCTGAAATGAAGGTTGTGTGCACATGTAACCCTAGCTATTTCTGAGGTTGAAGAGCAAAGGCCTCCTCACATACGTTAGTGATATCAGATGGTGCAACACATATGCACTGTTGTGTACGCAGCAGCCTAACTAACTTCATGGTATATCTGACAGCACTTTGATGACTCTGTCCAGAAGACTGTCTTGCATTCCAATATTCTTCCTGATATATCTCTTATAGCAAATGCATAAAGGCATCACAATCTACCAGGATGTATATAAAGTATACTGCAGAAAACATTACTATATATGCAGCAGCTGCTACTTCATTCATTCACTTTCATGAGTATAATCACCACTAAATTTCACTTACATGAATGACAGAAGGAAGTAGTTTTGTGTTATATAGCATGGAAAAGGGTTCAGGGTCTTATGTGTTAGCAGGAAAGAATTAAAGTATTTCTTCGCAGGCTGTGGAAATACAGTGGTGCCTCGCATTACGACGTTAATTCGTTCCAGCGAAATCACTGTAGAACGAAAACGTTGTAATGCGAAATTAAAAAGCCCATAAAAATGCATTAAAACCCAATTAATGCGTTCCTAGGGGCTTCAAACTCACCGTCCAGCGAAGATCCTCCATAGTGCGGCCATTTTCGCTGCCCGTGCAGCGAGGAATCCGTCCCAGAAACGAGCGGAGAGCCATGTTTTTTACCCGGCGGCCATTTTGAAACTGCCAATCAGCTGTCCGAAAATCTTCGCTTTGCGAGAATCGGTTCTCGAAGCAGGGAACCGATCACCGCAAAGCGAAATTCCCCCATAGGAAACATCGTTTTGCGGTCGCCTTTGTGATCGCAAAAACTTCAACATAAAGCAATTTCATCGTAAAACAGAGCGCTCATAATGCGAGGCACCACTGTATGGTACAGTTCTTCCATATTCATCTCATAATGGGTGATAACTAATTAGTGCATTCTATCAGTATATAGCAAAAAATAAAGGGAAGCATTTGATATGGTGAGGTGGTGAAGAATTAGTGGCATACAGAATCACATGGATTATTTCTGCAGTTCTCATGTTAATGTAAAAAGCCTGAAAATAATAGTGTCGGAGATTGTATGCAAAAAAGGCAATTTGTATAAACATAACCCACATTTGAGGCTCAAGGGAGAAGTAAAAACAGCTTTAGTTAAAATCCCAATACTGTATAACTGATAGTGGATGGACAGAGAATTATCAAAGTATAACAGGATCCTAAATCTATCTAGAATTCAGTCTCATTTCAGTTCAATGGGATTTGTTCCCTGATGTGAATCAATTTAGGTCTGTAGCCTGATGTTTAACTAAGAAGTAGCCCCAGTGTGTTCCATGCATCTTACTAGGAGTGACCAAGGGCCACTGCAATTTTGTGTGTTCAGTCATACGATCACAACATAACGTTTTGCAGGACAGCAAGTCCAGTGCCCTCCACATATAAAAATGTGCGAAGCCAGGTTAGGCCACCCCTCCCCCGCCGCCATTAAACAGTAGGTGGTGGGAGGCCCTGTATTAGGAATGGGGGCGGGGAGGACCGTGAAAACAACCCTACTGGGTTGGTGCAAGTTGGTGGGGAATATTTTACACGCCTATTAGAGGCCAAAGATAGCAAAGACAACATCATCATCTATCTGTTCGAGCCTTAGACATGAAACACGACGGAGGAGACGCGGGAAATTGCGTCGCACAAAGAGAGGCGGCCAGGCTCCTGGAGGAGGCGGGTGTGGGGGGGAAGGGGGCAGAGCCTCCACCCCCGGAACGGGACGCCACCGAGAGGGCCCACCAAACTGCTGCCCCCTCTCTCCGCCCCCCCGGTCCCCATTGCGGTGGGTGGGTGCGGGCGCCTGGGCCTCGCTCCGCCCGACTCAGGGGATAACCCTCCCTTCTGCAGCCCATGCCTGTCGCGGGAAAGAGATCGGGGGCGGGGGGGGGCGCCGCCGGGCAAAAGGCCCACCGACCAACTGCTCCTCACCAGAATCCGCTTGAAAAGGTTGCTCTCCTTGGGCGGTAACGGAGTGGACGGCATGGTGGGCCAGTCTGCGGGCCGCCTCCTCGCCGCAACCGCTGGAGGAAGTAGCGGCGGCAGCGGCCCCAAGGGTAGGTAGGGCGGAAGGGCC